GCTCGATGATGCCCAGCAAGCTGAACCAGCGCCGGGCCCTCCTGCTGCTCCCCCCGCCGGGGAGGCGGATGGACGAGGCGCGCCTGGAGTCGGAGCTGCCGGCCGAGGGGGAGCCCGGGATGGCCTTCCAGGTCCTGGGTACGTACCGCCCCTCCCTCCCCCCTCCCCTCCCTCCGGAAGAACCGGGAAGTCTTCGGAGCACCTGGAGCTGTCCAAGCCCCCCCACGCTGCCCCCAGCCCCCCCCTGCAGCAGGGGCCAGATGGAGGCTCGCGGGTGGTGCCCGAAGCACTGACCAGTCCTGGTGGGCCCCCCTCCTTCCCACACTGACCCCCAGTCCACCTTGGTGGTTGACCTGTCTGACCAGGTAGGCAATGCCGGTTGCCGAGCAAGGCAGGAATTCATTCAGAGGATAACACGGCAGACTGTACAAACGCACAGCTTTCATGCCAGCCGCTCACCAAGTAGAGTTTTTGCTCACAGCTTAGAGGGAGCCTTGGTGCCGACGATCATGTCAACATAAGTGAAAAAGTAACGCAGTGAAAGTAGGATAATGCACACAGGAGAAGATAAGAACATAAGAGACGCCCATGTTGGATCAGGCCAAAGGCCCATCCAGTCCAACACTCTGGGTCACACAGGGGCCAAAAAAAACAGGTGCCATCAGGGGGGTCCACCAGTGGGGCCAGGACACTAGAAACCCTCCCACTGTTGACCCCCCCAAGCACCAAGAAGATAATCCTAAACCACAGTCATAAGAAACTCAGCTGGGTCAAACCAGGGAGGGTCCATCCAATCCCACCTTGTGTCTCACACAGAGGCCAGCCAGTCCTTCTGGAGGGTCAGCAACAGGGCAGAGAGGCCGAGGCCTACGTTAAAAAAACCCTGCTGGGTCAAACCAGGGAGGGTCCATCCAGTCCCGCCTCCCGTCTCACGCAGAGGCCAGCCAGTTCCTCTGTAGGGCCAACCACCGGGCACAGAGGCCGAGGCCTTCCCCTGATGTTGCCCCCCCGGTTCTGGGATGCAGGGGTTTACTGCCTCTGAATGGGGAAGTTCCCCTCAGTCACCAAGGCTAGTAGCCACTGATAGCCTTCCATGAATCTGTCTCATCCCCTTTTAAAGCCGCTTATCCCTGTGGCCATCACATAAGAACATAAGAGACGCCAATGTTGGGTCAGGCCAATCCAACACTCTCTGTCACACAGTAGCCAGAAATACCAGGGGCCATCAGAAGGTCCAGCAGTGGGGCCAGGACATTAGAAGCCCTCCCACTGTTGCCCCCCCAAAAGCACCAAGAACATAAGAGAAGCCAATGTTGGGTCAGGCCAAAGGCCCCTCCAATCCAACACTCTGTGTGTCACACAGTGGCCAGAAACACCAGGGGCCACCAGGAGGTCCAGCAGTGGGGCCAGGAGGACACCAGAAGCCCCTCCCACAGCATCCTCTGGCAGCGAATCCCGCATCTGAATCCCATTCTCTTTATAGAAACACCTTCCGGGATTGCTCTGTTATAACAAAGCCCTGTCCCCTTCCTAGAAAGGCTCTCCCGAGCAATCCTGTTCCCCAGAGTTTGTGGGAAGACGGCTGGGTGGGCGCTCTCCTGGCCTCCTCAGGCAGGCCGTTCTTGTACAGGGCGGGAGCACCAAGCGGGAATGCCCGTTTGCAGGGTGGCACCCGCTGTAGGCCCTGAATGGAGGAGCAAAGCCGTTGTGGCGGAGCACAGGGGTGGTGAGCGCCTGAGGCCAGGCAGGGCTTTGCACGGGAGAGTAACGATGGCCTTGAACTGAAACTAGTATTTCAAGGTTGACCAGTAGAGTGACTGCTGAACAGGTCTCGCGGTCACCCTCGGTCTAGGTAAAGGTAAAGGGTTTCCCTTGCTCGAAAGTCAGTCGAATCCGACTCTAGGGATGTGGTGCTCATAACAGTTTCCAAGCCGAAGAGCCAGCGCTGTCCGAAGACTTTTTCCATGGTCACGTGGCTGGCATGACTAAACCCCGAGGCGCACGGAACGCCGAAGCGGTACCTGTTGATCTACTTGCAATTTCTTGCTTTCAAACTGCTAGGTTGGCAGGAGCCGGGGCCAGAGACAGGAGCTCACTCCGTCATGCCGCACCCGGGTCTCGAACTGCTGAACTACCGACCTTCCGGTCTGCAGCTCAGCGTCTTAACCACTGGAGCCACCGCAGCCCTCCTTCTAGCCCCCCGTAATTCTGCCTCAGTTGTAGTCCTCAAGGCTGACCCCCGCATTACAGTAGTCTAGTCCTGATGTTGCGGCGGCGTCAGTCCGGCGGTCCCAGTCCGCTTGGTGGTGGTCTGCAATGTCGAGGACCAACATTCCAGTCCAGGAGCCCCTCTCGACCAACCACGTTTTCCAGGGCTTGTAAGCTCTTGTGAGTCAAAGCTGACTTCATCAGATACAAGACGAGGAGGACGAGGGGGGGGTGTCACAGAGAGGGGCTGGTTGGAGTCAGGATGCAGAAAGGAATCCGCTTGACTAGAGCTGGGAGAGAGATATCTACAGGTGGGGAAAGAAGAAGAGGAGGAGACTGGATTTATACCCGGCCCTTCCCTCGGAGTCTCAGAGCGGCTTACAACCTCCTTTCCCTTCCCCTCCCCACAACAGACACCCTGTGAGGTGGGTGGGGCTGAGAGAGCTCTTGACAGAAACTGCCCTTGAGAGAACAGCTCTGAGAGAACTTGTGACTGACCCAAGGTCACACTAGCAGCTGCAAGCGGAGGAGTGGGGAATCGACCCCGGTTCTCCCAGATTAGAGTCTGTGCACTTCACCACGACACCAAACTGGCACCTCCAGAGAGCACCTCCCCCCACCAGTCCTGCCTCTTTGACCCATTTCCCCTCCACAACTCCCGTCTCTGCAGACTCCTCTGGGACGCTGTGGGGAGGGCGCAACCCCAGTGCCACCCCCCTCTGGCTGGGGGCTGAGCCCGACGCGGTTTCCTGCGAGATCAACACCTACTCCCCCCAAGAGGCCCACGTCTCCTGGGCGGCGGGGCTGGCCGGCAAGGAGAGCTGCCCCCGCGCCCTGGAGAAAGGGAAGTGGTTCATCGCCAGCGTCCAGAACCCAGAAGCGGGCTACGGGGTCAGCAGCATCTTGCATGAGGAGGAGCCGTTGCCGTGGAAACAGGAGGCAGCCACCAGCATCGTCACCACGACAACAGGTACCCAGCGTACAGGCAGTATCTCCCCTCCCCCCCCGGGTTTTGGGGGTGAGAGCTGAGGAGCAGAGGACAGAACAGGTGTGGGTCCTTCTGTTGGTCAGTCTGTCTTCTTCAGGGAGAGGTTGGGAAGGTGCTCCTTTGGGGCTGTCAGTTTTCAGTTATCTACTTACAATAAATAATATCGGCATTATGTAGGACTAGGAGGGAAGCCCGTTGTAGGAAGAAGACAACGGGCGCTAGAAAGACGGGGAGGGGGCAGTCCCACCCTTTCCCCCCCCCCCCGCAGACCCCGGGGTCGGTGACTGGCTTCTTGAGTGGCCCTGCGCCCCAGCAGCCTGTAAGCCCCCTTCCACGTGCAGACTGTCCCCTGGCATGCCTCGGCGGTTCCACGTGCAGACTGTCCGCTGGCATGCCTCGGTGGGCTAGTGCGGCTGCGGTGGCAGCAGGCCCGAGCTCATCCCAACAAACCCATGGCTGGTGAAGGGGCCAGGTCGCCCGTCATGTTGGATTGAAGTGAGGCCCTTCCGCCCGCTTCCTCCCCAGACCCCGGGGCTGTGCTGCATGCGGTGTCCTCCGCGCTGGCTTAACGGTTCTTCGGCCGGGCGGCACACCAGCCCCCACACGCTCGCAACCTGGTCGCCAACGTGGCTTAGGCCTTGGCAGCTCACGCCGGCTGTGCCAGCGGTGGCAGGAGTGGACTCGGCCCAACAACTTCGTGGGCAGTGAAGGGGCCGGGGCGCCTGTCATGTCAGAGGAAAGTGAGGCCCATTCCTCCGCCCTCCCCGTACCGCTGGGCCCTGTTGCATCCAGTGGCCTCCGGGCCGCCTCGACGGCTCTTTGTCCCAGCAGTGCACCAGCCCCCATCCGCTCGCAGGCTGGGTGCCGAGTCGGCCAGGGGTGACGACGACCGGGTGCGGTGGTGGGAGGAAGGGGCTCGGCCAAGCGTCCAGCTGCCAGACCACACATTCCGTCCGGCGGCTCCGTGCATACTGAGGGCAAGCTGGTGGCCGGGGCTTGTGTGGGTGGGACCCCGCAACGCAGCCAGCCAATGCAGGCAGCACCTTTGGAATGGCAGTTCAGGCGGCCAACTGATTTTGGCGTGGATAGAACTTTGCCACCCCAAATCGCTTTTATTAATGAGAGATCAGTATACATGAACCTGACGGCTTAGAAAGGAGCATTCTAATCACAGATAAATATACATCAACTTAACCGCTTAAAAGAGAACATTCTATCCTTCATAAACTTGGTATTACCATGTTGTTAACATTTACCGCAGATGAAGACTGTCTATGACATTGGTATTATCACTCGAGAAACTAGGTAGGCTAAAATAGGTGACCATATACTGGTAAGTTCACTACACCCGCCACTAGATTTGGTTGGTTTCAATATGTCTGATATTTTTTCCATTACATATAAATTCCACAACTTCTTATACCATAAGTTCAAGGTTGGTTTACTTTCTGATTTCCATTTTGATGTGATCGTCGCTTTTGCTGCAAACAACGGTAAAGCGATTCTTTTTCTTTGTATATTAGATAAATCATGTTCATATCTGAGATTTAAGACTATTGATTCTGGATTCTTCGTTATGATGTGTCCAGTTACACATCTAATTTCTTCTATTATTTCATCCCCAAAAGATGTGACAACAGGACATAATGATATGTTTAATAATCATCTGTTTCTAAGAGAACTGCGCTGTTCCCCGCCTAAGAACGGGAGCGGCAAACAGAGACAAATCGACGCTGCTCTTTAAAAATAGCAGCAGCACTTACAGCAAGAAGCAGCAGCAGGCAGATAATTCAGAATGTTTGTCAGCCGATGAACCACGGGAATGTAAACACTTATTTCCATTTACTGAGAAAGGGCTGGTAGAATGAAGACGGCGGTCGCCGGTTCGTTCCGGCTGCCATCCTAAACAAGCGCTCGTGGATAGGTCGTGCTCGAAGTCGATGAATCAGGTGGATGAATCAATTGAAAGCCTTTTGATTGGACAAAAAAAAGGAGGTGCCGGCACGGATCAGAGCACACGGGTCAAAAAGGAATCTTCCAAAGACAGTACCCGGCCGGCAGTGTTCCCTCCAAGCCGAGTGAGTGTGAGCCAGCTCACCGTTTTTTAGCCTCTGGCTGACACAGTTTTGCCTCCGCTCAGGAAGGAGAGCTCCACGGAGCGAACTAATGAATGCAGTAGCCCAAATCGCTCGCTCACCACTTTCACGCCTGTCGCTCGCAAAGTGGAATTTCGGCTCACAGGAGGACTCCGCCTTCCTTGTCTCTCTCACGTGCAAACTCAGGAGGAGGCGCTGGAGACCACCGCCCGCCATCTCCTTCCGATTTGTGGGCTCCTTTGCACGCCCCCGTAAACATGACAGGCGCTGTGGCCAATGTTCCCTCTGAGCTTTGGAGTTTTGTGAGCAAAAATGCTAGTTTGTGAGCTACTGGCATTAAAGTTGTGAGCGAGCTATTTGGTTACTGCATAATTAGTTTGCTCTGGAGCCAACATAACATAAGAACATAAGAGACGCCAGTGTTGGATCAGGCCAAAGGCCCATCTAGTCCAACACTCTGTCACACAGTGGCCAAAAGTACCAGGTGCCATCAGGAGGTCCACCAATGGGGCCAGGACATTAGAAGCCCTCCCACTGTTGCCCCCCCAAGCACCAAGAAGACAGAGCATCACTTGCCCCAGAGTCCCTATCTATACCTTGTGGCTAAGAGCCACTGATGGACCTCTGCTCCATATGCTTATCTAATTCCCTCTTGAAGCCGTCCATGCTTGTAGCTGCCACCACCTCCTGTGGCAGTGCATTCCATGTGTGAATCACTCTTTGGGTGAAAGAGGACTTCCTGTTATCCGTTCTAACCCGACCGCTCAGCAATTTCATGGAGTGCCCACAAGGAGTTCTTCCTGAGCTAAGACAATAATCTGTGAGCTGGAGGCTAAAGAACTGTGAGCTAGTTCACACTAACTCAGCTTAGAGGGAACACTGGCTGTGGCCCCGGGAAAACGGCTACGATTAAGAGAGGCTGCGATCCAAGGCAAGCGCCCTAGGGGAATGAGTCCTAGTGGGACTTCCTTGTGAGTCGGCCTGCCTAGGCTTCCCCTCTAAGATTTCTCGCCTGGGACGACAGCCCTGCCTGTCCACTTGGCCCCTGTGAGGAGCAGCTCTTGAGCTGGCCATGGTGGGCCTGGAGAGCCGGCATTGCCGAAGGCCTCTGAGGGACTTTGCGGCTGGACGGGGGTTTCCAGCTCCTGGTGTTGACGACCCCTGTCCTGCGCCGGCATTTCTGTTCTGGGGAGGGGCAAAATCATAGAGGAGTAGGGGGGGCAGTTGCTGTCGTGCAGAAGCCGGGAGAGCAGAGGTTTTCAGTCAAGAAAAGCAGGGCAGTTTTCCTCTTTGCTGTCACCAAAGTGCCAGAGTTTGGTCCCCTGCCCCCCAAAAAAGTTCACACCATTTTCCCGGCCCTCCAGAATAATGAGATTGCGGGGAGCGAGAGCTTACGACTTCTCTTTGGGGAGGCGAATGGGTATGAGCAGGGAGGGAGATTCCTGGGGTTTGGGGGCAAGAGGTGGGGGGAGCCTAGAGCGCGCATGCCGTGCTCACAGACGTGGCAGGCCAGCCACGTGTCCCCCAGTGAGGAAGCCGTTCGCGGCCCGGTGAGCCTGCTGTGCGTGGTGGTGGTCGTAGGCACACACCGCCTTTCCTCTTGAGATGGCACCTGCAACTGCTGCGTGCGGAAGAAACTGCAGTGGGCCACAGTGAAGAGGCCGGCCGGCTTCTGCCATGGCCCGGCCTGGCGTTTGGATCCCGCCTCCCCGGCGCGGCCCTCCTTCACCTCTTCCTCCCCTCCTTCTCCCCCAGCGGTCTTGTCTGTCTTCACGCGGACCCCGCACCTGCAGTCCCGCCTGGGCCAGGACGTGGTCCTCGACTGCGGCTTCTCGGCACCGGCCGCCCCCTTCTCGGTCGAGTGGCGGCACCAGCACCGTGGCACGGGCCGGGTGATCCTGGCCTACGACGGGGCGGCCAAGCGGATCTCTGTGGCGGAGGAGGGCGTGGAGCTCTTCCTGGACCCGGACAGCAACAACGTCTCCCTCTGCCTGCGCGGCATCGGGGTGCGCCACGAGGGGACCTACATCTGCACCGTCTACCTGCCCCACCTGCACGCCCAGCAGGCCCTGGAGCTGAAAGCCGTAGGTGAGTGAGGGAGGGAGGGCCTGGCTCCCAAGTGGCCCGCGTCACCCCCCCCAACACGCCTGCAGGAATGGGCCCTCCGCCGAGGCATCTGGGAGGCTACTTTATTTTCCAGAAATCCTGTGCGTCCCCCCCCCCCTCCCGAAAAAAGCCAGAGCTTTGCGGGGACATTGAAGTGTATGGAACACTCACGCTCCTAACAACATAAAATGCATCATTTATCACTGTTAGCATGTGTAATTGTACTCTTCGTATCCACTTTTGTTCTGGGGGGGGGTAAACAGAGGATTGTGGGGGGGCACAGCCATGTGGGACCCCCAGGACTGACCCCTGGGCTTGTGGGTCATTTCTTTTTTGGTGTAGTGGTTAGGAGCGTGCGGACTGTAATCTGGGAGAACCGGGTTTGATTCCCCCACTCCTCCACATGAAGAAGAAGAAGAAGAGAAGATTGGATTTATACCCCATGGCCCTTCACTATCTGACGGAGTCTCAGAGTGGCTCACAAACTCCTTTCCCTCCCC